GACTATATGGCGAGTCAAGGCTATGACCTTTCACTTGGTGAAGGCCTCTATTTTGGTCAAGGTGTTAGGGTTCCACCCCGTCCTGCCTATGTACCAAAAGGAAAACCAGATAATTATTACAGTCGTAATAGGGGTCTGGGTTATGCCTCATCATCCGATGACGATTATGGCCAACGGATAATTAACCAATTAATAGACAGGAGTGGGCATTCATCTGACACTTCAAATTGGGATTCTGATGTAAGCATTGGAGAAAAATTCAAAAGTCTCATGTCAAACATGGCAACAGTCGATCCTTCTACAACAGAAGAAGACGATCAGTTGCCCACTTGGGAAGATCCTTGGACACATTACATGAATGTCCAATACGGGGATCGATTCGAGCAAAGAGAACCTCCTACTGAAGATAAGGTAGAGCAAGTTAATATGGGTGACGAAAATAATCCAAAACCTATATTTATCAGTGGGGATCTTCCACCAGACGAGAAAGATGAACTAATCGCCCTCATCCGAGAGTATATCGACGTGTTCGCTTGGAATTACGAAGATATGCCTGGACTCGACCCAAACGTAGCAATGCACACCCTTAATATAAAATCGGATGCTAAACCTGTCAAACAACAACAAAGACGGTTTCGGCCGCAAATTATGGAGGCAATAGAAGTTGAGGTCAAGAAGCTAATTGATTCAGGTTTTGTCAGAGAAGAACAACATCCCGAATGGTTGGCCAATATAGTCCCAGTTCTTAAAAAGAATGGAAAGATCAGAATCTGTATTGACTTCAGAGATCTGAATACCGCCTGTCCTAAAGACGATTTTCCCCTACCAATTACGGATGTCATTATCGACAACACATGCGGGTTTGAGAGAATGTCGTTCATGGACGGATTTTCTGGGTATAATCAGATAAAGATGCATCCAGATGATGAAAAACATACAGCATTCAGAACACCCCTGGGTGTTTTCTGCTACACTGTTATGCCATTCGGCTTGAAGAATGCCGGCGCTACGTACCAACGAGCGATGACGAAAATCTTTCAAGAGCACCTCCGGAAAACTGTCGAATGCTACGTTGATGACCTGGTCGTTAAGAGTCGCGATAAAAATGACCACATTAACGATCTGAAGACGATGTTCGAGCTTATGAGAACTCATCAGCTGAAAATGAATCCGACTAAATCCTTCCTTGGAATGTCGAGCGGTAAATTTCTTGGGTTCGTCGTCACTACAAAGGGTATTCATATTGATCCTGATAAGGTGAAAGCGATACATGAGCTACAACCACCGAAGAATCTTAAAGAACTCAGGGGGTTGCAAGGCCGATTGGCATATATCCGTCGGTTTATATCAAATCTTTCCGGAAAATGTCAACCATTCTCTAAACTTGCGAAGAAAGGCGTGTCATTCGTTTGGGATGAAGCATGCCAAAGGGCATTCGAAGATATTAAGAAATATCTAGCGAATCCTCCTATTCTCGTTGCACCGAAATCGGGCAGACCGTTTTTGATTTATGTCAAAGCGACGAGCCATTCGTTAAGTGCATTACTTGCACAAGACGACGATAACGGTCACGAACAAGCTGTGTATTATCTGAGTCGTACATTGGTAGGAGCTGAGTCTCGTTATCCGATAATTGAGAAGGAATGCCTCGCTTTGGTATTCGCGATTCAGAAAATGCGACATTATTTAGTCGGACAGACGATTTATGTCATTTCCAACATAAATCCCGTACGAGTATTCATGACCCAACCGGCTTCCATGAATTGGCGGTTGGCTAGATGGGCCTTACTCCTATCGCAATATGACTTGTACTTCAAGCAACAGAAATCTGTTAAAGGACGAGCTATTTGCGATTTTTTGGCGGAAAACCCTACGAAGGATGTAGTCGAATTGTACGACGATCTGCCAGATGAAACTCACGAAGTTAATACCACCTCGCATCAACAAGTGTGGCAATTGTACTTCGATGGGGCTTCTCGATCAACCAACGTGGCAAGTGCACCCGGATGTTCTAAAATTTCCTCAGGTGTGGGGGTCGTTTTAGTTTCCCCGGAAAAGCACATCTTGCCTAGAGCATATTCACTAACTGAGCCATGCTCTAATAACGTGGCTGAATACAATGCATTAATAATCGGACTTAATTTCGCCAAAGAACTGGGGGTCGAATACCTCGAGGCTTTTGGAGATTCTCAACTGGTAGTTAATCAAATACGAGGGGAGTATGAAGTCAGAAATCGAGACCTGATTCCATACCACCAGGTGGCCATCGAGATGGCAAGCTCGTTTGAAGAATTTTTTATCGAGTACGTTCCGCGTCTCCAAAATGCATATGCAGACGCATTGGCAGCATTGTCAGTATCCTTGGCTCAACCTCCCAAAACAGAGCAATTGATTACAGTGAGGACTCACCAGCTTATTGTCCCAATCTACGATTCGAATGCCAAAGAGGTTTACTCAATAGGAGTTGAACCTGAAGTTCGAGATTGGCGTTTTCCTATTATCGACTATGTCTTACATGGTATATTACCTGAAGATGTAAGAGAAAGGGAATCGATTCGACGAAGAGCACCGAGATTTTATTACAATGCCGCAGCGCAAATGTTGTATCGACGATCGTATGATGGTCTTTTACTCCGTTGTCTATCCGGAAAAGAAGCGGAACAAGCACTCAAAGAAGCGCATGATGGAATATGCGGTGCACATCAGCCCGGTCCTAAGCTCTGTGATCGACTTAGGAGAATCGGGTATTACTGGCCAACTATGGTAAAAGACGCAGTCGACTACGCACGAAAATGTGAAGCGTGTCAATTACATGCGAATTATATGCACATACCCCCTGAGTATCTACATCCTTCGGCGACATCATGGCCGTTTGAGACATGGGGAATGGACATTGTAGGTCCTATTTTTCCGCCTTCGGTTAAAGGGGACCGTTTTATTTTAGCAATCACCGATTATTTCTCGAAATGGGCAGAAGCAGTTCCACTTAGAGAAGTAAAGACGACTAATGTCATCAAATTTATCAAACACCATATCATATATCGATACGGTGTGCCAAGGCGAATAGTACACGACAACGGTCCTCAGTTCGTGAGCAACGCATTCATCAAGTTCTGCGGTAAATTCGGGATTAAGGACGTTTCGTCAACCGCTTATAATCCTACAGCTAACGGACTGGCCGAAGCTTTTAACAAGACTATCATCAAAATTCTGGCGAAATTGGTGAAAACCAATAAACGAGATTGGGACGACAAACTCGGCGAAGCTCTCTGGGCTTATCGTACGACCGTCCGCACGCCTACAGGAGCCACCCCGTATGCTTTAACGTATGGGTGTGAAGCCGTTCTTCCATTGGAAGTGCAGATTCCTTCTCTCCGTATCGCTCTCGTAACGGGAATGACGACGGAAGAACATCATCAGAAACGTCTCGAGGAATTAGAGATATTAGATGAGAAACGCTTGGAAGCTCAACAACAGATCGAGTTTTATCAAGCTAGAATTTCTCGGGCTTTCGATAAAAAAGTCCGACGACGAAGCTTTAAAGAAGGAGATTTAGTTCTCGCTGTTCGAAGACCTATGATTCTCACTTCTAAGAAGAAAGGCAAATTTGAACCTAAATGGGAAGGACCGTTTGTAGTAGAAACAGTCTACTCGAACGGTGCCTATCGCCTGGTTACTCAGGATGGCAACAAATTGATGATGCCAATCAATGGAAAGTTCCTGAAAAAGTATTATCCGTAATGCTTTCAGGATAACTTACGTAAAACGGGAAGTTTCTAGAAAATCCTATATGGGATATTTCAGGATAACCCGATATCAGTTGATTATTTTAAATGAGAACTGATTATGCGAATGATACGTTCTTAATTGTTATGAAAATAATTAGGAACCTTTTACTACTTTTGTTGAGATGAGATTTAATGACAAGTTAATCTTTCCTCACAAAACCCTGTAATGTGATCATGGAAGATGAGATTCAATAATTTATAATTTCACGCTATGAAACCTCCACCGGTCGGATTGAGCAATCATCGTCAGTCGGTGTCAGTTGACAAATTATTTCATGTTAAATGTTTGAAATCAAAATTTCCCATCGAGTAGTTCGTGCAAATCAACGAACTCATTGTTATTTGTACCCTATTCCAATTTCTCACCTGGTCAAACCTTTAAATAGTTAAGACCAAAACCAAAATCCCCTCTCGATTCCTTCCATGAACGAGAGATCCTCAAAACTCCCACTTGGTCAAACCTTACTACAGTTAGGACCACAACCAAAATCTCCTTTCGATTCATTTTGCGAACGAAAGATCCACTTTCGAATTGAGTAATCAAACCTTACGACAGTTAGGATTATTCAGGTCAATCCAGATTCTCTAAGTGAAGATCCCACTTCGAGTTTCTTTTGCTCCAGGAGATAGAATATAAAATTCTTCCTCTCCAATTCTGGGTTTATCTCTACCAACAAACAAGAGACCAGGAGATAGAATATAAAATTCTTCCTCTCCAATTCCGGGTTTATCTCTACCAACAAACAAGAGACCAGGAGATAGAATATAAAATTCTTCCTCTCCAATTCTGGGTTTATCTCTACCAACAAACAAGAGACCAGGAGATAGAATATAAAATTCTTCCTCTCCAATTCTGGGTTTATCTCTACCAACAAACAAGAGACCGGGAGATAGAATATAAAATTCTTCCTCTCTGATTTCGGGTTCGTTGTCCTATATAGGAAGCGCAACCTATTCACACTTTAAAATCCATATCACATGGGGGATGTTATCTCTATCCCTTATTAGAGATAAGCCTACATCTAACACATGTAGCCTACATATTCAATATGATAGTTCAAAGCCTAAAAGAGTTTAATTCTTTTAGCGCAACGTTATATGTGAAACGGACTTAGATAATTCACATACTAGCCCGACTCAAACGGTAGTTGGTAAAGGCATATCAAATCCGTTGATGGCTGAGGATTTGCCAAAAATCCTATAAGTATTATGACTATTTATTCTAAACAAGAATGAGTAATCATAATAAAATCTCAATAAAAAAGAAAAGTTCATTGTATTAACCAAAAGAGTTCAAGCAAAGCAGCACAAAAGAAAAGATGCATGTTTTCAAAATTACAATAATTTGTAATGACGGAATTCATCTTCTAATTTAGAAAGCTTTGTCGCGTAAGCCAATTCGAGCTCAGGTATCAGTTTGGCTTTAAATTTTCTTTCATCGATACTTTGAATTCTGGCAACCTCTTGTTCTTTGTCATCAAAAGTCTTGTTCTGGAAATTAAGTTGCCGGAGTATATCCACCTCAGCTTGAGTTACTTCTGCTAGATCAGACTCCAAAAATTCGCAAGCATCCTTAGCTTCGGCAAGTCGTTTCTCTAACTGGGCTACCTCTGTCCGACGTGATTCCAAATCACGATACAGGTCTACCTTGATTTGAGCTTTCTTGGCAGCACTCACCCGGAGTTGATCAATGCGAGTCTTCAGTGTTTGAAGTTCGGATTCAGCGGATTTCTGAGAATCACGCCATGCTTGTAGCCTCAGGTCCATTTCGGAAGCGATGTAAGAAGGTGCGCCATCAACTCGAAAGTTCTGTAACTGTTCAATGTGTTGTTTAAGATCGACCAAATAAGCTTCTATGGAGTTAGATAATTCGGTGCACCCCTGTTCTTTAATTCCTGATACATGGCGATCGAGAGACTTCCTGAAAAGTTCAAATGGTGAACCTTTAAGAAGAATCCGATCGACCATGGCGTTTAAGAAATGAACGAAGCTTTGGACGTCAACACAGAGGGCAGCTTTGTCCGGATCTTCATCTGCCAATAAAACTTGAATCCGCTCGGACAATGAAGAAGAAATAGCTGCAAAGAGAACAAATAAGTTAAGTACAAGAATATGTACGCTCGCTGGAAGAATTCACGACCGAGTTACCTTGGCTTGTTGAGGTCAGAGCAGATTCTATAACAACAGGGATCTGTTCAGGAATAACGATCGTCGGTTGAGTTACTATAGGAGACGGTTGTTCACCTGAAACACCTGATGGCTTCGGATCCAAAGCGACAAAATCTTGAGGAACAAGTTCTGTCAACGAGAAAAGGATGAATGATCACTCCGCAAGTATTAATCCAACTTCAAAGCACGATTAGACAAAACGTACCAAGCTGAGTCGAAGCGGCAGGGGGTTGTTCTCCCGCTGTATCCTTTGACCCTCCTACTTCATGATCCACTAGAGTCGGAGCAGAAAGCACAACAGGTTCAGCTTCGACAATAGCGGAAGTCGGGGGAGCAGTGACTGGTGGTTCAACTTCAGCTGGGGGACTTGCCAAGAGTAAGAAACCCAGACCTTCAGGTTGATCACATTCACCAATGACAGTAGATGCATCAGCTTTGTTGGTTGGTCCTACATTTAGAATTCTTATTTCAGTCATCCAAGAATAATAAGAGATGAAAGTATAGTTAAACATTGGAGTCTAAAAGGATATACCTTTTGATACACCTACTTCAGCTGAATCAACTCGAGTAGTTGGTCCTGCAGTAGCGGATGGAACCGGATTTGATAGTATATCGGAGATCTCCTGGTGTACATCTTCGGACATATCAAGATCGAAATCACGCTCATCGAAATCTCCGATACCCATATCATGGGTAAGTTCGATATCTCCCGGTTTGTTTCAGAACCTTCATGACGACGTTTGGTGCGTAATTCAGTTCTGGGAGGAATCTGGGTTTGAGCTTGAGTGGAAGGTTGTGATCTTTGTCGACGAGCAAGAGGCACTTCATCCTCTTCATCCTCTTCGTCCCCACTGAGAACGTCTACCGGCATCCGATTAGGATAGGTCATGACGACTCTCTCTCCCCGTTTTCTCGAAGTAGCTTGTGATTGAGTAGGAGCAACAGATGGGCACACAAGTCCTCTTTCAAAGAAAGAATCAGGAATGATTGAGTAGGAGCAGCAGATGGGCGCACAAGTCCCCTTTCAAAGAAAGAATCAGGAAGACCCGTTCTTTCATCAGAACTTGAGCTAGTCTCACCCGCCTTCTCGGAAGTCTCCGTCTCCTCAGAGTCAAATTCTTCTTCACTACCAACTGAGCGAGCCGGTTCTTTTCCCTTCCTCGATGATTCAGCAGCATCTTTCTTTTGGGGTGAAGTCATAACTTCACGTGCCGCTCTACTTGAGCGCCGCGGGGCTGTCTCTTCTTCTGGTTCTGACCTTCCCCCGTACTGGGTGACGATGTTGGCAGCGAGCAACCACTTGCAAAATAGAAAAGTCGTCCGCAGAGGTGGTGTTTCCAGAGGGAGATCGAACTCAGCACCTGTGCAGCCAGCAATACTCCAGAACCAAGCTCTCGCTCCGTCGATAAGTCCCCCGCGAAAGCTAAGATGACGATTCGGGTTGCCGACATAAATTTGATCATAGCCGAATTGACGAGCAAATCGACATGGAAGATAGGGTTCAATGTGACAAGTATCTCTTACCCTAAATAACAAATAGCCAGGTCGAATGTTTATCAACCATCTGAAGCACCCGACATCCAAG